CTTTTTTACAGATTCAGACTAACACGGCTACCCCTCTGATCCTTCCTTAGAGGTTTTTAAGGCCCGGCTTGACAAAGCCCTGGCTGGAATGATTTAGTTGGGGATTGGTCCTGCTTTGAGCAGGGGGTTGGACTAGATACCTCCTGAGGTCCCTTCCAACCCTGATAGTCTATGATTCTATCTCAGCTTGCAGAGGTCCTGCCAGAGCAATCCGAGCCCCCTGCTCTGGAGCTCTGTGCCTGTGCTGCATAAAGGAAGGACAGAGCAGCACGCAGCAAAGGACTCGCTGTCAGCACAGAGGCACTCCGCCCTCTTGTGCCGAGATTGGCTTCAGCAGCACCGACCCTTCCACCAGCAGCACTAGCTCAGAGCTACCCCAGCACGACTGCAAGCAGCCTCCAAAGCCCCCTGCTTGCCTCTGTCCACCTCAGTACCGCAGTGCATCAAGCCTGCCTCAAAAGGCTCAGTACAGAGACACTTACCACCAAAACAAGCAACTTCGAAGACTTCAGCTTCCTCTTCAGCATTGGCAGGCCTGGTACCACCCGAGGCATCGTTTATGTCACAGGAGGAAATCAGGATTACTCTTGAGCCAGAGTCACCTATTGTACAAGCCTCTCCTGCCTCAGTTTCCCCATGATTTTCAGTGCCACAGTGGACAAAAATACCAGTCATGAAAATTGCCTTAAGCTCTCCTGCTCCTGGCACAGTGGAGCCTACCGCTCCTCATCAAGTTATTTCACCTCGCAGAGCAGCTCCTTCAATTCAGTGCTGTTCTTTGGCTTCTGCAGCAGATAAGGCTAGTAGGCAGCTCTCTCCTATCCCAGCTAAGAGATGTACACACCACAGAAACCACCCTTCTCGCGTTTCTCCAGTTAGGAGCCGCTCACATGATATTCAGTTACCTCCATAGATGTGAGCACCCTGGAATTCTACGCTTTATGCCCATGGGTACCAGTCCTGGCCTTTCTGGCCTCCTTGGCATAGTTTGGGTAACAATTTCCGGCTAACTCTGCCTTGAGGGGCAGTTTCCCTACAACAGGCTGTCTGCAGTCAGCCTGTTCTCCACAGAAATCGTTGGCACACACCCACAATGGACCTTCTACTGTAGAACACGTTGTCTCTTCCGATGAGGCCATAGTGTCTTCTGTTCCTTCCACAGCAAACAACTTTCAGGCTTTTCAAGAATTTCTAAAGAGGATGGCAGAGACGTTCGAAATTCCTCTGGAGCTTGTGCAGGAAAAGTCATATGAACGGTTTGACATCCTCCAACCTTCTACTCAAAATAAGGTGCCTCTGCCTTTTAAAGAAGGTATCCTTGAACCAGCTAAGGAGTTATGGGCAACATCACCTTTATGTGGGCAACATCTGAATGAGCAGATTGAAAATATCAAGTTCCTCCTTAGAGGTCTGAGTATTTTTATACTCAGCCGGCTCCATCTTCATTCGTAATCACAACGCTTAATAAAACATCCAAACAGCTTTCAAGAGCTACTCCAAAAGAGAAGGAACCGAAAAAGGGGATCTTTACGGGTAAAAGGATTTATTCCTCGGCCTCCCTTCAAATGAGAATTGCCAATTATCAAGCAATGTTGGCCAAATGTAATAACATACAATGGGACACAGTGGCAGGCTTTCAAGATAAACTTCCTTCTGATTTAAGGAAGTTTCCGTCTTTCTGCTCCGAAGGCATGTTAATTGCTAAACTTCTTTGCCAGCAGCACTAGACTCAGTGAATACAGGGGCTGGTCAGTGGTGTTGGGTAGAGAGATTTTTAGCTTTCTGCATCAGTCCAACTCCAGTACCCAGACAGCCAAGTCAAATATGGTGAGGATTATTTAAAATCTTATTCACCATAAATAAAGTTCTACCAATCCCCAAATATCGGACACGTTATCCACCAGGTCAATGAATGTATCAGACTGTGCCCAAATACCCGCTTACAGCCAGTTCTTATTAACTAATCTAAGATTTATTGAAAAGCAAGAGTGGTTATGGGTAAAAGATCATTACACATACAGATATGAATAAAGTTCTTAGGTCAGTTTCATAGTCGAGATGGTGAGGTGCTGAGTTGCAAAAAGTTCTTTCAGAATCATTTCCCTCGGCTAGAATCCGATAGACAGTCCATGTGCAGAGTCTGTATAAATTCTGCCATGAGAAGTAGCAGAGTGATCCAGACCGGTGCTGGAGACCTCAGTCTTGTGATTCAAGCTTAAGCAGATCTGAGATGACAGGATCGGGCTCTAGAGATCTTTTGTCGATTTCCAGCAGGCTACTGTAGCCTCTTGAGACAGAGAACATAGCAGGTGAAGAATGGGTAATAGACATGGTGACTTTGAAGTCAATTCCTATTTCCTTCATACACACAGGTCGTTAGTTGCATTGATTAGCAGAAGGCGATGGACCATTCCAGCAGTTCAGAGACAGTTTACTACAAACTTCCAAGAGAAATAGAGACAGTGACATTGTTACACCACATGTTTCATTCAATTGCTAATATTCCTTTTGATCGCTAAATCAATAGAATACAGTAACAGACAGGAACTGAAATTTAGCATCTACAAGCTAATCTGGTCACATTGTTAACAGCTAACAAGATATTTATAGGTAAACACAGACAAATACAATTAGTATTTACCTCTAATTCGCTCACGATACGGAACTCGCGTCCATTTCACGTGGCTTTGCTGACTGTTTGCCACTTCAGTACTTCCCTAATCTGTTCTTGAAGGTGGGGCCCGTAGCCTGCTGGCTGTTCAACCCTCGCTGGCTCAGTGTCACACTTGCCTTGCAGTAATTGTGGCTTTTGAGATGGGGATCCCAGGCCCCACGCTCCAGCCCCACAGCTGGGAGTCTGACCCTTCAGCCCTGGGTGGCGAAGGAACTGGCTGGTAGTTGGGGTCGCCCCGCCTGCCAGGCTCTCGGAGGGGTGAGGGGAACATGAGAGCCTGAGGGGGATGCTGCTGAGTGAGAAATTTCCAAACTCCTGTGCAGGGGCAGGAGCAGCATCAGTGGGATCCACGTGCCCAGCCCAGCCCGAAGCACCACGCTTGCCGTCAGCTGTATACGGCATTCTTTCAGGGGCAGGGCTCTCTGCTGGGGGAGATTTAGCAGAGTCCCCCAGAGGCAGGGAAATCCCCTCAATCGTCTCTCCAATTGGGGGTGGAGATCCCTGAGTGCTCCCTCTGCACATCATAGATCTGGCCTCACAGGACTGGAAACCGCACGTGCTTTGCCTGACTGTTCCTGCACCTATCGCCCCCCTGATCCTTTTTCAGGGGGGTGAACCATCCACTGTCTGATGCCTGTGTCACTGGGCCGTCGTGGGTCACAACTGAGAATACCAATTCAGGACAAACTGCTGAGAAATAGGGCAGACACCCCCCCAAACTGGTGGTTATTCTCCCATAAGATATACCAAACCAGCAACAAAAGTAAACTTCTGTTTCACCACACTGGCTAACAGGAAGTCAGAACAGCAGTTTCCTTAGGCATTCCAGTCCTTGTATCACCACCAAAAACACTCGACTTAAAGAGGAGTGGTTCTTTAAAACCAATTTTATCAAATAAAAGGTTCTTCTGATCCCAAAGGACCAGCCACACACTAGGTCAATATACAACTCAGATCTTACCCAATAATCACGCTGTTGCCAGTCCTTTAGTATCTAAAATCTAAAGGTTTATTTATAAGAAAGAAAGAGAGAAAGAAAAAAAAGAAGGAAGGAAGGTGAGAGTTAAAATTGGTGGAATCAATTCCATACAGTAATTGCAAAGTTCTTGGTTCAGGCTTGTAGCAGTGATGGAATAAACCGATGGCTTAAGTCAAGTCTCTGGTTGCTTCCAAATCATTGGAAGGTTCTCGGTCCCTTGGTTACAAGTATCAGGGGGTAGCCGTGTTAGTCTGTATCCACAAAAACAACAAGGAGTCCGGTGGCACCTTAAAGACTAACAGAAAGCTTGTGCCCAAATAAATCTGTTGGTCTTTAAGGTGCCACTGGGTCCCTTGGTTAGATGCTCCCATTAGTATAAGTCCAGAGGTTTGGGCAGGAAAGAGGCAAAATGAAGGTGTTTCCAGCACCTTTTATAGCTTCTGCCATGTGGCGGGAATCCCATTGTTTCAAACAAAGCCCTCAGTACAGCTAGTGGAAAATTACAGGTAAAAGGTGGAGTTTGGAGTCACATGGGCAAGTCACATGTTCATGCCTGATTTCTCTTAGTCCCAGTAAAAGTCATTACCTATACCCCAGACAGCAGGTTCTTCACAGGGAAGTCCATTCAGGGTAAGTCGATGTCTTCCATTGTGAGTTAAATGTTCCTTGATGAGCCACTTAATTTGAATAGTCCCTCTAAGATGTGCTGGCTAAACACCTTGTTGGTGTTTCCCAGAAGCAAACGCATTAGAATTCCAGGTATAGAGCCAATACTCAGAACTTCAGATACATGCATGCAAATAGCATAATCCTATTCAGCGAATCATAACCTTTCCCTAGACACCTTACTTGACAACTTTTGTACAAGATTTGTTGCAGTTATATACCAGTGGTAGCGACAATGCTCTACATGGTCCTAGTTCAATCAGCTAACGTCACAGCCTGGGCACATTTCCACCCTCTGCCGTGTCGGGCAGGTTGATAATACAGCTGCCCTCTGGCATCCCCAAGGGCTCAGCAAGGCACTGTGCTCCCCTTCCCGGCTCTGCTGTACAATCTCCCGCTTTGGCCGGTTGTTCTCAGGCTCGTGCCAGTGCCCAGGCAGTGTGATGACTTGCGCCCTGCGGCAGAGGGACGGGATGACGGTCTCCTGCTCTTTTTGTTTTGTGTACAGGTGGTAAATACCTATGCACCTGGGAAGAAGATCTGGCTTGAAGGTATCGGAGCCACCTCAGCTGGAGGCACGAACAATCTCTCGGATTCATACGCTGCTGGATTCCTGTGAGTTGGGGGGGAGGGGCATGGGAACCACACACACTCCTACAGTGCAGCGTGTGCTGGCAGCTGTCTGCAGCTGGGAGCAGGTTCACCGCTCTGCTGTAAGTGCACCTCTCGTGCACCTCACCGCTCTGCTGTAAGTGCACCTCTCGTGCACCTCACCGCTCTGCTGTAAGTGCACCTCTCGTGCACCTCACCGCTCTGCTGTAAGTGCACCTCTCCACTGCTCGTTACCGCAGGCGAGGAGCTCTGGGCTAACAGCAGTGCAAATGAGATACGAACTGTCCCCCCTCCTGCCATGGGAGGTGCTAACCAATGGAGACGGGAAAGAGGAACAGCCCCCCAGGCGCATGCCATGCACAGGAATCAAAGCGTGGGACTATTCAGAACAGTCCGATTCCCGGGGCCTCTCAGAGCTGGGAGTGAACAAAACCGGATGGTTCTAGCCCTAAATCTGTAGTGAGAGGGAAGTAAAGCTGTTCCACCGCTTACCTTCTGACATGCTTGTCTAGCCACAGAGAGACCCGCACCCCCTTCCCCCGGCCTGTTGCTGGTTCCCCGGCTCTTTGCCCTTTTCTTTCAGGCTGCACTCACGTCTCCATTCATTCCCGGGGGGTGCAATCTCAGCTCAAGGAAGAGCCTCTCAAGGAGCTCTGTAGGCTCAGGTTTGGGATCCAGTTTCTTTGCACCTTAGAAGCCCAAGGCACTCATGTTCCCAGGGTTTGCTGGCTGGCATGACGGAGCAGCCTGTGGTCTCTTGCTGCGTAGCTCCAGTTCCTAGGGTTAGAGCTGACTGTAATCATTAGAGGTTTAGTAAAGATTATCTTTTCTTCTGGAGAGAGTGGTAAGGTGTGTCTGTAGGTCTGTGATGCTTGGGAGGAGGAGGCATATGCCAGGACTGCATGGTGTGTGTGGGGACGTGATGGTTAGGGTTGTGCGCGTGGGTTGTAATGATGTGGCTGTGTGAGGATGCAATGTGTGTGTAGGGGTGATAGTGGGAGTGTCTATGGGCTCTGGTGATGGAGTTGTGGACAAGCAGAACTGATGTGTGCAGGGGTATGCTGGTGTGGGATGCAGTGAGATGCTTGGGGGTGAGATGGGGTGGCAGGATGGGGTGTGGTGTATAGGGAGGGGAGAGATGCTAAGTATGCAGCTGGTAAAAAATTTCTGAGATCCTTCAGTTCATCTATTTGGAACAATAAAGTGCTAGACATGGCTTCTGTCGTAACGATCCCTTCTCCTGGAGCTAGTGCCCCGTGCAAACTACTGGAGAGTGGCCCTTGGGGCAGAAACATGCCTTGGAGGGTTTCTCGGCCAGCCACTCAGCAAGCGTGCTCCCCCGGCCACCTATAGATACAGCTCTCTTCCTCTTTCCAGGTGGCTGAACACCTTGGGCATGTTGGCCAACCAGGGCATTGAGGTGGTGATGCGACACTCGTTCTTTGACCATGGACATAATCACCTTGTGGACCAGAACTTTAACCCTTTGCCGGTAGGTGTGTGAGGAGGCTCCTGCTCTATCTGTCTGTCACTGATACACACTCACACACACTCACTCTTGCACGCACACACACACGCAGTCTCTTTGATTCACCTTCTCGGCCCTTTGAAGTGGGGTGGATTTTCTCTTCCCTTTCCTGTTCCCAGTTAGTAAATCAGAGAGAGAAGTTCTTGTCGTCTGTGCTCTTGACCGGTTTCACAGACACTTGGCTTCACCACAAAAACAATCCTGTGTGCAGTCGAGAATCCACTTCTCCTTGTGGCCTGTTTGAACTCCACTTGAAAATGAATTTTTCCAGATCGGTTTCTTTCAGTGCTAATAGGAGACATTAGTTAATGTCAGACACAACATGTTGAAAGCAGATGGGGCAGCTCTACCTCTGGAGCTAAAATTGTATCCGAACTAAGAGCTCAGTGGAACCCAGGCGGCCGAACTTGAGAGAGAGGCTAGTCCTGCAGGCTAATCGGGGGTGCCACGGGCAGGCAGGGGAGCACATGCAGCGCAGCACCTGGAGGGGCAGAGTGAGGGGACAGCCCAAAGGAGGTACCTGGGGTCAGAAGGAAGGAAAAGGGCTGTAGAAACACAGGCTCAGTGTGAAGAGTGACCAGATCTCCAGAGAGCGCCGGACCCAGGGAGCTGGGGTTGGAATCAGTGCCCGGTGTTAGAGTTCTAGAAATGAAGGTAAAAGATGTTCACAGAGCAGAGCAGTTCCCATCGATTCAGTGCAAAACCTCTCGTTTGTAGCTCTTCAGAAAGACTCGGGCAGCTGTGGTTCCAAGTGCACAGAGCTCTCATAAAGAAACCGTCTGTACGAGTGTTTTAAAGGGGCAGGCTTCCTTTTCATCTTTCCTCAGTCTAATAAATTCTGCACCTTGTAAGTGGAGAACTTGGCACCGCAGAGGGGTGTTCTGTATCTCCACGGAAAGGAATTTACAAGGCTGGTCCAGGGTACCAAGCTGACAGCCAGGCCCTTGGAATGTGGAGTGGAGATCTGGGAATCATAAGGGCAGCCGCTTCAGAGAGCTCGGCATTTGATAACAAAATCCTGCCAGTAAAAAGCAGTGGGTTTTACACTGTGCTGAGATCTCGGGGAGAGTCAGCGAGGGGTCAGAGCCTCCGCGAAGTGGGTTTTACAGTCTTCTCCCAGCTAATCAGCTGTTGAATCGTGCACCTCTGTTCTCGCATCATCAGGGGAAGACATGGGAGGTCTATGGTTTAGATTATTTCTCCCAAATTCATTCTGTGAGTAGTAGCAAAGAGTGACGCGCTAAAGCACGGGGGAATGCAATCCCATGTTGTCCATGCGTCCTCAGCTCCCCATTGAATTCACAATGGGCTTCAGGAGGCCCCACCAACATGCCCTAATGTGACCCAGACTGATCCCTCTTTCCTGGCCAGAGAGGAGTGAGTCTCCCTAGTCATTCATCCTTGAATTCTGTTTGAATTAAAACTGGCTCCTGGGGCATTTGATGGTTTTCCTCCAAAGACCCAATTTCCCTGACCAAGCCTCAGCACCTCCATCCCCAGGTGACTCCAGGGCCTTTCCAGACTCCTGCTGAGAAGTTTCTTCTACAGCCCAGAGCTTGACTTACTCTAAGGTCTAGGTAGCAGTGTGTACATGGCCACTAGCCAGCCAGCTCAGCTGGAGAGGGAGTAACTGCCTTGAGGAGCCCTCGGCAGAGGTTAAGATGGTGTGAGGTTATGAGCTCCAAGGGCAGGAGCTACAGGAATAAGCCCTTGGCTGTTAAAGGCAGCACAGGACTTTAACGTGGATTTTATTGCCATTTTAAAGATAATTCTTGTCATAAAGTAAGTGAGCTGCCATGCCCCCTGGAGTAGTTGCTTATTCCCTCTCCCACATGCTTCAGAATTAATTCATTTCCCATGCTCCTATATCACCTTCCTGGATAGATTCTAACGTGTGCTTTGTAAAATCATTTCTTTTCACCCCTGTGGTTTAAAAGAGCCCAGGGCCAGTGAAAAGTGTTAGAGTTTAAAAGCTGCAGACATGAAAAAACCCAGCAAGCCCAGACTTCGACACGGTTGTAGGTGTAGCGGCTGCTATTTTCCCGTGGGAGCTATCCCAAGATGAAAGCAGTTGAATGTACCTGTGCCGGGTGGCTGTGATGTGAAATATAATCCCCTCGTTAGCTGCAATGACAAAGACTTTTCCACATGTAGCCTTTGTGTGCGTCAGCTGGCTGCTGAGAGAAGTGTAACATCAACTGCAGGATCAGTCGCTGTGAATGGACTTGGCTGCTCATCAGCTGGCAGAGAACTTGGGCTGGGCTCTCCGGAGTAGCGCTTTTCTTCTTTTCTTTCCAGGCCACTGCCGAGCCGGGCTTGTCAGATAAGAGTGCTGGTGCGTCAGGCTTTGCAGCCCCTCGGATGCTGGACTGAACTGATCCTTTTACAACAGGGCTCCTTTGCCCCTCTTCTGTGCTGTTCTCAGGAGCTGGGCTTCCCTTTGAAATCCAGGGATGAGATAGTGATGGGAACTGTCTGACCATTCACCTGTCATTCTCCAGAGTATCAAATACAGAATCTTCTGCTCTGGGCAGGCGAAATATTCTTAGTGCAATTGACACAAGGGAACGGATCAGGACGCTCAGAAGCGAATGTTCTCACACACAGGTCAGCCACACTGCGCATTCTGCCTGTCACATCATGTAACATTTATTAGCATAAACAGGCATTTCAAACATGGCACAGGAAACCTCTCTGGGGGCTCTGAGCACCTCTGGCCTGCTTGGCATAGCTGTGGGAATCTTAACTTCTGACTTTCCTGACCGGTTTGCTTGTATTTCAACTCTCCTCCATGCTGCTGTGTTACTGTAATGTTCTCAGAAAAGACAAATGAAAAGGGCGTGTACAGCTCCCCTTCTGCCCGATGAGTTTTGCCAGCATGGGCCTGTGCAGTTAAATCAGCAAGGAAAATCTCTCCTGTGGGTATGGGCCTGGTAAAGAAACCCACTCCTTCCCTGGCCAGGCTGGCTGCGGTGGATCAGTAAAGTGTGTGTGGGAAATGCTCCTGCACTGTCAGCATCTCTCCAACGTGGAGAGGTCCCGGTGTTTGCTCGGGTCTAGCTGCTCACCCAGCACAAAGTTCTAAACCCAGGCTGCGTCTCAGGGAAGGGCAGAAAGAAATCAGAGGAATGATTGGAAGTGGAAGGTGCATTATTTTCCACTCACCAAACTCCAGTGGCTGGACAGAGCCATCTGCTTTTTCAGAAAATCACCTTGGGGTGCAGCCAGGCCTGAGAATCTCCCAGCCCGAGGGGTTTCCTGAGAAAGTGAGAAGCCCCCAAGAGCAGAGGTTTGACCTGATCACCCACCTGGATTACAGCAGCGTGACCTGTAGCCCTCCAGTGTTCTTGGACAGCGACTGTTCTGCCCTGGGGGTGCTGCTTCCCCGTCTTGCCGGGGAAGGTCGTCTGATGCCGGGCTGTCCTGCAGATGAGACCGTCATGTTTCAGGTTCTTCTGACACTTCCGAACGTGCTTCAATGTACACCTGTGAGTAGTCCCAGAAGTTAAGTCGCTCTGAAATGCTTTGCTGGCTGGGGGCTCCAGGGCTCCGTTTCTGGGAGTGGCTTGTGGTGGTGAAGCAGTGGTGCTAGGTGTGCAGCATTAGACGCCCGGCGGTTGGTTCTGCAGAGACCACACAGGAGTCTCGAAGTGCCTCTGATACTGACGTGGGAAAGCAGCTTTTGGCCACTGTCAAGGGTCAGCCCTGCCCCCTGGAGAAACCAGTGGGATGAGGGTGACTTTGTCCTCCACCACCACCGCACAGCACGTCCGGCCTGGAGGGCCATGCTGAGCGTTCTGTACTGTTCTGTAGCGGGGATGTCGGTGGCTGTCGTCCTTTGCTAAGGAAATCGGTTTGTCTCGCACACCTCGCAAAGGACACGTCCTTTGCCGTATGCACGTGATTGGGCTCCGTCTCAGCAACGGCTAACGGTTGGGGCGCTCTGGCCTGTGTAATCCGGGAGGTCAGGCCAGATGGGGTAATGACTCTGTAATCCTGTGCGACCCTGGGTGGGTGCTGGGCATGAAAGTGGAGGGTTTTCCTGTCTATGTAACATGGGGGATGCGACAGGAACATCAGACTTCAGGGTAAAAACCCATGTAGCTAGAGTAGCCCAGAGCCCAGGAGACACTGGTGCGTAAACTTGCATTTACATCTCCGGTTAGTTGTGGCTGTGATCTTCTCCTGCCAGACCCAGGCTAGGTCTACACTACCCGCCTGAATCGGCGGGTAGAAATCGACCTCTCGGGGATCGATTTATCGCGTCCCGTCGGGACGTGACAATCAATCCCCTAATCGACGCTCTTACTCCACCAGCGGAGGTGGGAGTAAGCGCCGTCGACAGGAAGCCGCGGAGGTCGATTTTGCTGCGGTCCTCACAGCGGGGTAAGTCAGCTGCGATATGTCGAATTCAGCTACGCTATTCACGTAGCTGAATTTGCGTATCTTAAATCGACTCCCCCCTGTAGTGTAGATGTAGTTCCAGACTGGAGGTGAGGAGACATTTGGTTTCTGTTAGAGTAGAATGATGCTGGATTTTCCTTAATCCAATTGGGTTACGAGCCGTGGGACAGGCTGGGGGAGGAGAGTTTACGGAGATCAGAGGGTGACGGGGTGGCAGAACCTGCTCTCCTGGCTGTGGGGAAGAAGTCTTCAAATAGCTCTGCATATTCCCGCTTACGGCCTTCCTGGTGGTGCCTGATGGTAGAGCCCTCCCCAGGCAGTGTCCTTTAGTGTCCTCATATGCGTCCCCTCCAGGGAAGATGGGGCCTCCTAATTCAGTGCTCTGTCAAGGGAGCACCAACCACCTGCAGCAGCCCCCTCTGCTCTGGGACCGCAGGCTAAGCCTGGCCTTGGGGCATGGGAGGCTGGAAAGCAGGCCTGCCCCACGCTCAGCCCATAGCAGTGACTCCTGTTCCACGGGGCTGGGCTTTGCTTCCCGTCCTGGGCATTGGGACCTGGCACATGGGGTTGCAACGCCACGCAGGTTTGGCCTGGTCGTCCCTCCATCGTAACAGAGATGGGGGCCCTGTGCAAGTGCACATTGGTTAATCCTGATTCCTGTGGGTGCTCTGGACCCCTAGACCCCCATTAAAGCCTGCACCGGCCCCCTCTTACCCCTTCCCTCAGTGTCCTCAAATGTTCTGAGGGCAGGCTGTGTAAGGGGGTACAGTGCCCCCCCTCCTCAGTTCCTTCCAGCTGTTGGGCCAGACAGAAATGAGCCGTTTCCATCCACTCGGATCCAGAGGTTTTCTCCATGGATAGTCTTTGATTGTTTACTGTTGTTGTTCTAGTATCAGTTTAGTAGAAGGTAGTTTGACATACGGTTCTGAGTAATGGCAGAACCGAAGAAAATAAGGAATCTGGGTATGAAGAGGTGTGCCTCGTGCCCAGCGTCTTCCCGGTGGTCCGATGACCATGTTAGGTGCCTGAAACGCTTGGGGGAAGGACACTCTCCTCCTGGGTGATTTATTTGCTGAACTTGCGTGCAAGGAGCGGCAAAACAGACGGCAGGTGCTTCTCCTTAAGGAAGCTCTTGCTGTTAAAATGTCCGATTGCGGAAGGTCGTCAGACCCAAAGTCTTAACGCACGTTTCAACTCCAGGAGCTTTCTCCAGTGAGGCTAAGCTGTCTGCAGATTCCAAGGGGTCAGGATCTTCTTTGGATCCGGCTCTGAATCTTTCTGTCAAAACCATCCAGGCTCCAAAGGCACCATGGTGGACAGACTGCCTGCTAAAGAACCTAGAGCCATGTTGTCTGCTCCAAATGCCTGGGTTCCCAGGCAGAAGACAAGGAAGAAGACAGCCTCTGTTAGTGGTGTCAGATTCAGGGCATCAGACTTATTGGTCTGTCCAAGTCTGACATGGCCTCTATGGTTCTGTCTCTGAAACCTAAGTCAGTTCTGGTTTCAACTTGGAAGACCAGCGGTGCAGAGCTGAGTATTTCACCAGGTTTGGTGCTCTCCAGCTGTGTTCCCTGTAAGCTGCGTGCTTGGGCGGCCGCGCAGGAGAGATTCAAGTGCTGCCTAGCTGATAGCAGAGCGTGCACAGCCGGCAGCGTGTGTTCAGGTGCCCTTCCCTCCCCACGCTGCTTTGCAGCCACGTTGCTCCTGCAGCTGCTCCCGGGACCCTCCTGCTGGCCGTGCAGAGCTTGGGGGTGGGAGGGGAGAAAGAGGGTGCTGATGTCAGGGTGTCCCCCTCCCCCAGCCCCTGTACCCCATCTCCACAGATCAGGGTAAAGGGGACAGGTCTCTGAGGTCTAAACAAGCCTTCAGGTGAGTGAGTGCCTTAAAGAGACAGCGCACGGTCTCTCAGAGACTTCCCTAGCAGCCAGCACACGCACTCTCTGTCTCTCCCACCCCCACACACTCTGTCTCTCCCCCTCCCCCCTGCCCATGTACCCCATCTCCGCAGAGCAGGGGAGGGGGGAGATGGTTCAAGAGGCCGAGAGCTTTCAGTGAGTGCCTTAAAGAGACAGGGGACAGGCGTGTCTCAGAAACTTCCCCAGCAGCCAGTGCACACACAGTTTGTGTGTGTGCCTCACTCTCTCTCTCTCTCTCTCACACACACACACACACAGTCTCTGTGTGTCTCACACACACACTGCGTCTGTGTCACACACACTGTCTCTGTGTGTCACACACACACACACACACACACTTCCTGCAATGCACATATATTCTCTGTATTTATTCTTTCAAAGTGTGTTATTTGAGTTTTTTGACTGGTCTCTGCATTTCATAGTTTTTATTTCTCTCTTACACTTAAATGTAATTCTTTGAGTAGTGAGTTCTAAAATGCCGAACCTGTCCTGGCTGGAGTAATTATCCCTACTGGTAACTTTTAAAAAATATATATTATATTTCAGCTTTTTGTTTCTACTGGTGGCGCACATCCCCACATTACCCCGGTGCACATAACAAAATTTATCCTGCACATGGGTGGAAAAAATTAGAGGGAACATTGCCCTCCAGGTCTGTGGGGCCAGCTCCTCCCTCACTGCTGTTCGGGGGTCACCCGTGGATCTGAAGACGTTTTTTACTGTGGTGGCAGCCTGTGCATCGTCCCGCCTGTGAGCATGCCTCGCGTCCCGGGGAGAGGCAGCTGGCGGAGGAAGGGCCCTTCAGTTCTGCATTCTGCTGCCTCTTCACCCGAACGGAGGAGAAGAGCAGAAGAGATTTAAAGTCTTTCTCCAGAGCCATTTATGCCTCCTCCTAGGCCCCTACAGGGACTCCAGGCAGATCATTCTCACCTTTTATTGCTTGTTACCCTCTGGTTCCATTGCTGTCTCTGGCAAGGTCCACATGGATCCAAGGTTGGATCCTCAGTTTCAGAGGACAGAGGAAGAATTAAGAGACGTATTCATCCTGGTTTATGCCTCCTCAGCCTGGGTTTCCTCACTCCAATATTGTTTTTCCTCTTATGAGCATGTTCCCGGGTCCCAGCTACTGGAGCGACTGGCAGTCCTGGGCCCCAGGGCCTTACTGGGTTCCATCGCAGGAATTCCCAAACCATATCCACATGGCTGGAGAGTTGGTGTTTTATCAAATAAAGATCCAGAGGCTGAACCATCCTCAGACCCCGTTCCACCTGGCTGGGTCCGTCTGCAGCACACCGCTAGGCCGGAGACGCCGTCTGAAGAGCAAGACGAGGCGACAGCTCCTCTTTCTGAACAGGGTCCGATGGATACAGACTTCCATTCAGATTTCTCACCTGATGAGCTTCTGCTTCGTCTCCTCCAGCGAATGGTTTGCCGTTTCATCACCTGGTGGATCACGTGGTATCTGCCCTGAACCTAGCTTTGGTGGCTGAGGAGGAACCTCTCACCTGGTCTTTCACATTCTTGGAGCTGCCTCCAGGAATCAGATTGTGTTGCCGATACAGGATGGTCTCCTGCAGCCTGTGGGCTAGAGTCCTGGGCATCTACTCTAGCTACACACTCAGGACTGTGTGGGCCACCCCTGCTTCCTGCCAGCCTGGTTCTAAAAGGAAGATAAATTGTCTCGGATACCTCAGCAGGGCGTTTCCTCCTTTCCTACTCACCCTGTGCCTAATTCACTGGTGGTGGCTGCTGCCAGTTATAGACTTAGGTCCAATCTGGCCCATTCACAGCTGCTGACAGAGGGGGGGGAAATCGGTGCCCCTGGAAGACCGTTTCTTTTCTTCCTCTTCTCTTGGTATTAGGGTAACTAGTTACCAGCTCCGTTTATGGGAAGAGACAATTGTGTTTGTCCAGGATTTGCCAGAAGATGGGCTGGTTTTCTGGAGGGACAGAGCATGGTGAACCAGGCTCTCAGGGCTTCAGCTGATGCTTCGGACTTCCACACCACCAGGTGGGAAACTGCGGCAAAGGATGCTGCCCAAGGTGCTGTGGGACAGGTCTTTTACTTATTGCTTATGTACTTGCACGTTGTTCTTGCAGTGTTTTCCCAAACCAATGGCGAGTTTTCTTCTCTTAATCAAAGTGAAGAGGATTATTGTGCATGGGGATGTATTGCTTCAAGAGGTGTCCGGGGTGGTGTTTAGCTCCCCCAGAGTTCTGGGGGTGGAGGGCTTGAGCCAGTTGTTTTTTAATGTTAAGAGAAACTCCTGTTTACAGAACCGAGCCCTTGTTGCTGTGGAGACCAACTGGCAGAATGGTTACACTGGTATCAGAACAGGAGGACTTGTGGCACCTTAGAGACTAACAAAATTTATTAGAGCATAAGCTTTCGTGGACTACTGCCCACTACTCTGAAAACTGATATCAGAGACAGTTTTACCCTCAATCGGCTCTTTATTTTTCCTCAAATCAGAAACAGCAACAACAGCATAAGCAAGCTCAGTCTTTGTCCGAGACCCAGCACGAAAAGAGGTAATTCAGGTACAGACCTTGGCTAAAACAACCTGCTCCCTCCTCTTTGCCTTCCTTGATCACCAGGCCACTGCTCTGATGGGAGTATCGAGAATCGCAGACCAATCCGCAAGGATCCCCGACTAGCCCATTTCATCAACAGTTGGGAGCGTCTTACGGCAGATAAGTTGGTTCTAGAAATTACAGAAGAGGGCTATGCCATGCAATTGAAAAATGACCCACTTCCAACCCCCAACGCTTCTCTTCGCAGGGAACATGATCACCAGGCTGCTCTTCTAGCAGAGGTTCAAAACTTGCTCCTGGGAGTTGCTGGTGAAGAGACCCAAACATCTCTGGGGCCAATTGTTTTATTCAAGAAACTTCCTGGTATAGAAGAAACACG